GCTCAACTCACATCACAGACGCATGGCCTCAGGACACATTTAGTTCTACTGCTGTGTTAAGTGCGTAAAAAGTGAATTTCAAATGGAGCTCTTTAGTGTCGAACCTCACGACCCTGCAGCTGATCACACAGGTCTGAGAGGCCGATAATCTATGGGACTCAATGGCCAGATCTGAGGTTAATGTGTGGGTCCCTGGGGTGGGGTGGGGGTGGGAATGACATGCCTCTAGCAGTGCTGGGCAGTGGTCAGAAGCACCAGGGAGCCAAGGGTAACGCTGCCTTGTTGGCTGAGGTCTCTCTGGTCAAGGGCGGCACAGGACTAATGTGGGGAGGTCCATTAGTGTTGACTGGCTAAGCACATTGTTCCCTTTGGTCACATTCCTGGCTAAATACAGACATTTCCACAACTGAAGTCCCCGTCTACCAGAAGTCATTTGTCAACTTAGCGTCACGGACGACGAGTTGACCATATCAAACTTTTATGAAGAACTATTGTGACAAGTACAAGTAGGCCATGCTGCCTCTCCACTGTGAGCGTTTTCTCAGTTTGTTAGAAAAACAAACTCTTTATTATCGAGTGTTAAGTGCTATAGTACTTCACAATTAAAATCACTATTATCACATATAGAGATACAAAAGTGCTGCATAAGATTTTTAGCCCAGTTTTGTCAGCAAATGTATTCTATAAATAGTTGATATGTTCACACCCGCATTCAAAGTTAATTCTTGGCAACCAAATCAATTTGCAAGCCTTTTCAGATAGAAGATAACCACTTTTGTTCGACATCATTTGCTTAAGGCTTACAGCATGCTGTCTGGGGCTGATCACAGCAGGGCACTGTCCCATAAACCATGCTGTAAAACGGTATTGGGATAATGGGAGGTAGTGGTTTTGCTGTGGTCAGCACTGCAAGGGAGTTTTCATAGATAAGGCTAATCGCTGCGCTTATCGTCACAGTGGTTGTGTGTTGAGATTGAAAAGCATATGCTCCCAAATGCACACTTAAACCCACACAGGGAAGGGAAAGGGTGAAATGTTCTCTCTCAATTCCTTGCTCACAAGCAGGCCTTTTGTCTCCTGCCATGCCACATCATAAAGCAGGACTGTGTGTGTGTGACTGTTTGTGTGTCTAGAATAAATGGCAAACTAACTCCACATGTCAATCTTTCTGGGGAACTGGCACAAAACAATAAATCGTTAAACTATGTAGTTGAATGACTGATGAAAAATCTACTGGGATGTCCACATTTACGTTGCTTTCTTTCACACACTCACTCTTTCTCTTCACACACACACAAATGCATTTCACACACACAGAAGTACGGTCTCTTCACTTGTCAAAAGCACCACCAAACTATGAGCTACTCCGCACCATTATAAGTACAATGAGAGGTCCCTGGCCCCACAAGTCCACACACAATCAGCCCCAAGGCCTGCCCCACTCCCACCATTGTCCCATACTCCACACACACACACACATACATACAAGCACACATACACAATGGCCACTCCAGAGCCAGGGGTCCCACTATGCAATTCCATCACACAAAGACACACACCAGTCCTTATCCCGTCAGAGAGAGAAAAGAATGACAGAAGAAAAATTGCAACCCTTGGGGAGGGATTGATGGAAGAAAATGAGTGAAACACAAAGTGCAAAGTGTGTGTGGCAGGAGTGTAGATAACATATTAGGGAGGGAGAGGCCCAGTCGGCAAGCTAATATTGTGTCCTGTCCTTATCAATTAAGGTTAAACAATCCATGAGTAAATCAATCTGGACAAATGTTGATATAAACTCATTTGGAAGTCAGAGCAGGAACTTTTAGTCGTTTAATAGATGAATCAATAAAATAAAATAAATCTTCACCTATTTTTTATGTGATTTAAATCGTAATTTTTCATGCAAAAAATTAAATGCTATGATATTAAGTTTTCTTGCGCACTCTGTTTTATATCATAATAAACTGAATATCGTTTGAAGTGACAAAACAAGACATCCCCTTGGACTTTGAGAAACTGGGGTTGACATTTTTCAAAATGTTCTGACATTTTATAGACCAAACGATTAATCTAGAAAATAATCCGCACATTATTTGCTATTAAAATAATGATTCGTTTCAGCCCTGGTGGTAGTCTAGCCGAGATAGGACACAACCCTCTGCTGACATATGAAACCTGTAGAATATTTTGCCTCTAACCAATCCCCTAGACTACATCAAACCGAAACAGAGACAACTGTTAGCAGCAATGATAAGATATCAATTAAAACGGATACTTTCGAACACCACAAAACCAACAGAGATCTGCCGACAACAACAGATGCAGCTCCGCCATTTCCTGCTTCATCATATCAATTCTCTATCTCAGCAGAAATCCTATCATCTACGCAGACTAATGAAGTGACTGTGGAAAACAGGAGTGCAAGGGGAAGTGTCCGGTGATGGAGAGAAAGGAGGTAAGCTCCATACAGAGGCAGCTTACCGTATGGGACATAATCCTACATAACCAAACATCCCAGGAAGGGATGATTACATTCTTTATCCTACACATATCCAGGCACAATTATATCCTTCTGTGTTCAAGAAATGTGTTCACTCCAAGCGATGAGATCTACACAAGTTAAAGGTTAAAACTTGTGTACTGATTGCAACCGTCGCAACAGCAGGAGATCAGACAGATCAGAAAAGCACCACAGATTAACCAGTTCCATAATTTAACTATTTAAAAAGTGCAGTTATAAGATCAGAGTTGTTTTTAGATAATGCCTCTCAGGCACAGTTCTTATGTTTACCAATTAGTGCTGAAAGGATTAACCTATTACTTATTCAACATAGAATTCATCAAATGTAATACTTTCTGACAAAAACTTCAATGGCACTTAAGCCGGCACATGGGCAAGACGTACTCGATGATTAGTAATCTACTTTCTTTTTGATAAAAGCTTAGAATATAAGTCTATTTTACAAGCCAAAAAAAAATCATTAACTTTGTAACTTTTATTAACAATACAATCAATTAACAAAAAATAAATATATAAAAAAATTAAAGGCTGCCCCAGCCACAAAGGTAAATGTAAAATAAGAATGGTTTGATTTGAAGCACACACACTTTACACTAATCTTACATATAGTAGCTCCAGCTACTGTTACGGCCAACCTAATAAACACGCGCGCACACACACAACCACATACATCAAACCCATAACCTAAGCACAATCCATTTTTAGTACCTTCCCAGAAGGACTTAAGATATCTGCTGCCACACAAACACTGAGGTCCTTGTAATAAAGGGCTACTTGTGGTGTGATGTCATGGCAGCCTCCTCAGGGCTGCTGCAAGGAGAGAGAGAGAGAGTGTGTGTGTGTGTGTGTGTGTGTGTGTGTGTGTGTGTAGGAATGTGGAGGGCTGAGGGGCTGAGGCCGGGTGCAGCGGGAGTCAGGAGGGGACAGGGTGGGGGAAGGGTGGGGGAAGGGAGGGGATCGTCCCAAGTGGAAAAGGGTCCCACACAGTTTGTCAGTCACTCACACGGCCGCGTGCCAAATGCTTGCCAGTAACTACTTAGGATGTCACCACGTTGCTCCAACAGGAATACAAGCATATTAAATATGTATATTTTGTTTAGCACAAAGGGGGATAGACAATACATGTGTTTTATATACTTTCAAATGCTGTCCACTGGGTCTTCTGTGTGTAAAGTCTAATTGTGTTAAAAGTTATAGTTGTGTCTATTAAAAATGGCAATGTCAGGGAGTTTATTACTGACACTGGGAAATAATGAACTGAATAGCTGGCGAACATTATAGTACTTCCACTTCCTCCTTCTATAGAAAAGTCGCCTTGCCTTCAACAGAAAGGAGCAAGAACAAACTTATGCAAGCATTTCAGGAATTAGACAATAACACACACACACACACACAGACTTCAGCTGACTACTGGAAACCCCCCTGCTGCTCTCACTTCAATGTGCTGACAGGACAAGTACCTGACAAATGTATGCTCACACAGTTACTGGGTTAATATCAGCTTTTTCTGTGCAGACCTGTTTAGATCCAATCACTTCCACACCACCACCAGGAGGAAAAGAGTCTGAAAATTAACTTAACACATCCAAATCTTTCTTTCTCTCTCAGTCTGTAAAAAAACATGCAGAGCTTCCAGGATTCTTTTTCTCTGAAAGGTGGTGGATGGTGAAATAAGGTTGTCAGGGTGACAGGGAGAGGATGCCGCTGTAACAACTGTACAGTAGTTAAACCACTTCCTCTTGAACCAGAGTACAGTACTAAAATGCTGCACCAGATTTCAGTATCTTATCTAGCCAAACCACGGACTATTGCACTGATCCTGAGAGCAACTTTAAATCAACAGGTTTTTTGATTGGAAGCGGATGTTGATAACTACTGTGCGCTAATCAGCGATGCAGTTACTGTCAGCTAAACAAGAAACACAATGGTGGATAATGGTGTAAAATAACTAAGTGCATTTTGTGGGGCTTTACTTAAGTATAAGGATGTTTCCTACTTTGTACTTCTACTTCCACTACAAATCAGGGGTAAATAGTGTACTTTTACTCCACTATATTTACCTTATACCTTTAGTTACTTTGCATATTTGGATTAATTATGTGAAATATAATCAACACTTAAATAAGACTTTAGTTACACCTGGAGTAAATTCACAAGCTACCCTGCAGTATACAAAGTAATTGTAGCTTTGATAACACTTTAATGCATCAATAGTTATAATCAAAACATATGAAATGGGCCAATGTGCATACATAATACTTTTACTTTTGGTACTTTAAGTATAGTTTGATGCTAATACTTTTGTGATTTTACTTGAGTAACATTTTGATTGCAGGATTTTTACTGGTAACAGAGTATTCTTAAACTCTAATACTTTTACTTTTAGTTAAGTACAAGATCTGGGTACTTCTCCCACCTCAGTTTGCGAGTAAACAAGAAACACAATGGCGGATAGAAATTCACAGTCAAGCAAACTTACCATTATCTCCAGGTGTTTTCATGTTCTAGTTTCGAACAGCGAGCTGCTAAAGTTGGTGGTGAATTCCACAAAGTTGCCCGTGGAAAGAAAAGTCAGTCTCTGGGCCTTTTCCTCCCCCCCCTTCTCTCTAGTTTGCAATCTGGGAAAAGTAGGTGAAGAAACACGGCAAACTTTTGTAGCTTCAGCGGCTCTTTCTTCGCGAGCCGCCGCCGCCGCGCGCTCTCTCGGTCCGGGTCCCCGGTTCTCTGCCAACCGTCCAAACCGACCGTCAACACCTCGTTGTTGCTCCTAGTAACTTGGACCGTTGAAATCTGCGCCGGAAAACGACCAACCGTCCCAAATGGTGCCTCTTTGAACAAGTAGTTTCGCTAACTGTCCGGAAGCTGTTTACTCCGCATCTTCGTCGCTGTTTGACATCACTCCGCCGCAAAACGCTTTGACACGAATTAACGTTGGAGAAGAAGAAACTCTCTTTCTTTCTTTACGGACTTTTTCTCCACTCTCTCTCACACCATTCAGTGCTGCTCTCTCCTCCCCCCCGTGCGTCTCTCCGTCCTCCGGGTGTCGTGTTTCTCTCTCTCTCTCCCCGCCCACACTGACGGGAGAGAGGGAGAGGGGGGGGGCTAACGTGGCGAGTCACGCCCACTCACCACGAGCCGGGGGCCTCGGCTGGCGTCACTGCAGCACGCGGCGTTGCCTTGGAGACCGCCAAAGCGCGTTGCCGTGGTGACATCATATCCGGGTCCTAAAAGATTCGAGAGCGGCTCGGCTTTTTACGTCAACAATCCTCGGTTGGTTACGTTTCTGATGGGGTCCCTTCACATCAGGATTGTTGTTACACTTTTTAAATCGATAAATTAAACATGAAAGCGTCAGATTTGACCAAAATTAACATAAATAAATTCAAAATCAGTATTTATGCACATCTCATCATTTTAGACACATTTTAGTGACATTTTAGTTTGGAGGAAAATACTACAGGGGCAATAAATAAAACGTAAAATAAAGTCACAGAATTAGTCCAAAAAGACTCAAAAGGGTAGACTAAATCTGCTTTAAAAAAAAAGCCATAAATACATTATTTTCTTTAAATATTGTAATTTTCACCTTGTTTTCCATAGATTTTTTGTTAATCTGACAAGTTAATTATAAAACATGGCAAGCTTGATGTTATTAATTAAACAAAAGTGTGTTAACCCCTTATATGCTGCTCTCTTTTTCCTTGTAAGAAGGTACCCAGTTACAAAATAATGAATATGACATTTCCTGGAAGGCTTTACCTGTAATTGCTTTGGAGTGATACTTGAAATTCAATACTTGAGGCCTCAATGTAGCCTACATTGCATCTGAATATGAACCTGCATCCTGTTCTGATGCCAGTTTATCATTGGGCATTAACACCCTTTTCATCACCTTCTTTTTGTTAAGGTGCAGCCAACTGAATTAGGCCTTCAAGTCACAATGAATGAATGTTCATCATGTGCATCAGAGCACAGAGACATCCGAGCACAGAGACATCCGCTCATGACATCCGGTCATGTCAAATGTAACTCTTTCACCTGATCAGATGTTCAGCATGGCTCGTTAGATTGTGTAGACCGGTGTCATGCCCAGGCTTGTTTCGTGTCACCATGACCTTTTGCTTCCTCCTGTGCCACTGATATAAAGCTGTCACATGTCATCAATACAGTAAGTGCAGATGAGTGGGTGTGTGGGGCGTCATACATGGGAGGTGAAGTGCATCTCCTCTGTTGCCTTCTTGTGTCACACCTGGGACAGTGGCTGAAGGCTTTATGTGTGTTTTTTGTGCATTTGTTGTGACATCAGCGATACACACCACTGCCCTGCCTTGTCAACAGGATAAGACAGTGGTAGTAAAACAAAGTAAACAAAGTCCCCTGACAGCAGCAGGTCCCTGCAGGGTGATTTACAAACAGGATTTCTCCTCTCTTCACTGGCCATTCTCTGACAGACGCAGGAAACCCACTCTGCTCTGCCTGATAAGAAACTGGACCTAAAGAGAGAGACAAATCCACGTTCAGGAAACAGCTATCCTGTCCTGTCTTCTTTTTCAGCACAGGAAAAACCCACTGCACTGTGGCATTTTCTCACGCTGAGGCTGAGAGACAAGAGAGTGGCACTATTCCCTTGTTTCTCAATTTCTTCCTAGAGCATGCATCCACTACATAAGTATAATTTCCCCATCTTCTGATGCCTGTGTTTCTGGCTGAGGTGAAGATCTCTTCAGTGTCTTCACACCCAGGGTAAGATGAGAGGGAAGAAATCACAGAGAGGACAAGAGGTAACGCTCCAGAGGGAGAAGGAGAGAGAAAAAACACCTGACAGTCAAATAGGAGTGATTTAGTGATTGAGTGCAGGTTGGAAAAACAATGTGTGTGCCGGTGTGGGAACAGGCTCTATTGTAACTCAAGCACAGGAGATGACATTTACAGACAAATCTACAGTACAGTCTGAACACTGATCAACACAGCGCTACACTCAGCAGCCTCCCTCTGTCCTCCTCCTCCTCCTCCTCACTGTGTATCCACCTCTCCTGTTTTCTCTCCCTCCTTCCTTCCCTCTGTTTGTTTGCAGTCCTGTCGTCTTTCACCACTCATCCAGACGTCCGTTCTCCCTCCCTCGCTCTCACACCTCTGCTGTTTCTCCTCCCGCTCCACGCCTCCCTCTCTTTGCCTCCCTCACACTCATTTTCAGGTCATCATTATTTGAGCTCAAGGTTGATGGACTCATGAGCTGAATGTGTGAGAAAATATTAAGCGTGGTTATACATTCATGTGCAGGCCTATATGGATTGTGAGACAAATGTTCTTGCACATTCCCATTTTTTTGGTGGATCTAAATAATTGTGCTAACTTTAATATCCTAAAAGGTGTATTTGTTTCATGTAAGAGCACCATTAACGTTCATATTTTGAAAATAACTTTGTTTATTGTTTAATTTAAAACTAAATGAACAGCAAGGACATAGCTGTTCTTACAACAAAGTCAAAGGGGTCTCATTCATGGGTATCTGGGAAGGTCATTCTCTACATAGGCAGTTTTCATTTAAAATGTACATTTATATCGGACAACGCTTTATAAATTAGGCAAACGTAGCAGACAAAATAAATTGTATTTGTCCTTCTGTTAATGAAATACTGTCTGTTATTGTTGTTTTGGTGCATTTCGCAACAGATGGTGGACCTTGCAGTGTGCTTGCTTTTAATAAAGTTATCACAGAGTGTCTCATTAGGATGTGAGCGCTTGCCAATGACAGAATTATTTTTTGTAAAAACAACAACAATCATTCTACGAGTAGTTACCATGGGTGGCAAATGTCAGCTAAATTCAAGGGAAACTCTCTCTCAGAAGTTGCCAAATTAAGTATCTTTTGTCCTTTTTGCTTATGCTTAGAAATTGAATCTCTCTGTCTGTACTTGTGTACTCTCATGTTCTGAATAACCCAGCTTCCCCACATTTCTTTTTGGTGTCTATATACGCCGGGATCCGGAGTCATGGCTGATCGTGTTGCTGTGGTCCTGAGTCCTGGATCGCGAGCCCTGGATCTTGAGTCGTGGCTGTGCCTGCTGCTGTGGTCCTGGATCATAAGTCCTGGATGGACATCCTCCTGGATTCATCTTCTTATTATAGACACATGCATTTCCAAACATTTGGACTACCTATGTTGCAAATGTATTATCTTTTCAATTTACACACGGCATCTATTGCACGTCTGTCCGTCCTGGGAGAGGGATCCCTCCTCTGATGCTCTCCCTGAGGTTTCTCCCATGTTCCCCTTTAAACTGTGGGGTTTTTCTCTGGAAGTGTTTCCTTGTACGATGTGAGGGTCTAAGGACAGAGGGTGTCGTATTGTCATACTGATATTCTGTACAAACTGTGAAGTCCACTGAGACAAATGTAACATTTGTGATATTGGGCTATATAAATAAACATTGATTGATTGAAATAAATGCTTATTTTAAAAGCAGTATTTTGTGTTCCCAGGGGCCGAGACCAGAGGCTTGAGACCTTTTTTTCATATTATTTTCTATATCTCCCTTTCTAACAGCTTGCCATGCCATTTGGCCGAAGATAGGTATAAGATGTCCTTAAATATAAGTTAAAACGTACAATTTGTGTTCTCGAGAAGCCCAGTCAGAATGATCAGATTGTTTTCCAGGTTTGATATTGAGCATTATGATCTGCTAATGTTCCATGTATGCAATGAGTTTTTCACATTTAATCCTTGAATATGTCACATGCATTTGGTCATTAAATCAGACCCGCCTGGCTCTTGGGGAGCGAACGGGATGATGTGTTTGACAAACAGAGTGTATCACAGAAGAGCCTTGTCCTATTGGTTCCACATCATCTGTAACTCCCTCTATCTCCCATCCCGCCCTTTTTCATCCCCTCCGTGCTTTATGTGACTCTGTCCGTTCCTAATCAGAGTGACAGACAGACGCTCCGCAGAGAAAGACGGGGAGAATGAAAGGGAGAGCGGAGATCTTGTCACTGGAGTGTTTGTGTGTATGTGAAAGCTCGCCGTTGGGGTGGGTGTGAACATCACCAGATATCTCAGATAGAAGATCTTACCCACCCCCCATCCTCTGCACTTTTGATCTCATGTGAGCTCCCCCAATCTGGACGGCATGATTGAAATCAGTGCCAAACAATCATAACTGATGCGCACTACAGTGGTTCAAGAAGGTCAAAAATCCTACAGAGTTTTTGTTTAGTGGTGTAACTTCATAGCATGCCATGCACTCAGCACTAATATACACACTGGTTTCTTCTGGTGTTTGCCTCAACAACACAGATGGCTCCAGTCAGTGTAATTACCGTGGACAATGGGTGTGGTAGCCCACTAACCAGTGCCACCACAGGCAGTGCAGACACACACACACACACACACACACACACATGCTCACACAATGTATGTACATGATTAACATGATTTCAGCAACCAGTGGAAGCCAGGCAGGGTTATAATTCCTGGACAGGGCGTAAAACTACCAACAGAGGTGTTATATGTACATGTGATGATTCATACCATTGGTGACGTGAACACACACACACACACACACACACACACACACACACACACACACACACACACACACACACACACACACACACACACACACACACACACACACACACACACACACACACACACACACACACACACACACACACACACACACACACACACACACACACACACTCTTTTCAACTCCCTCCTGCCTTGGATTTCTTTTTATTATTCACCTATTCTTTGAAAGTGCTTCAATTATCTCTGACTTCCAGCAAGTGATCTTACATAATCAACTTCAGGCGGTATTGAATGAAAGCCTGCAAAGTTAAACCCTTGTTCGGCTTCAATTCTTCACGTGGAGAACCTTGACTGAGGAGAAAAAGGTTTTTACTTCCAGTGCGAGTGTGAAAGGAGAAGGGAAGATGGGTCGCTAGACTGAAAGGCGTGCAGGGCGAGAGCACACCGGATGAAAGAAAGAGCCGGCAGCTGAGGGGACAACAAGTGCAGCAGGGTGGCGGTTAATGCCTCCCCCCT